TATGAAAGTGTTTACTGAGGTAAGCTGAGAAGTAGCAACATTTTACCATTATTTCTAATGGAACCGGACTTCTTTTTGCAACCGGCGGACTCGCCCCCTGCTGGTCGTTAGCGAGAATGCAAGTTTAAGGTCCGTCTGCATGGTTTCACTTTTCAGACCCAGAGGTTGCCGCTTGATTGAGATTAGAGAAATAACATTCGACAACCACTCGTCACGTCACTATAACTCTGGATTGGCCAACAGAGCTGCAAAACAACCGCAGGATTTTTTTGTTTTCATGTTTTTGGGGTGGTGATGGTGCAGTGGATAAGACGCATGCCTTTGGTGTGAGAGACCCGTGTTCAATTCCCCACTGTGACCCATCTACCATTGTGTCCCTGCGCAAGACACTTAACCCATAGTTGCTGCAGAGGTGTGTGACCTCTGACGTGTATAGCAATTGCAAGTCGCTTTGGATAAAAGTGTCAGCTAAATGTTAATGTTTTAATACTATTGTTTTTGCACTGGCCTGATTGGGCTAGTGAGTTGCTAGTTCAACAGTCCCAACCTTACTTTTTACTGGCCCTGGGCCACCGTTATTGTGGAGCCCTGCAGATGAACATTTAATATGTTAATATGCAAGAGGACCCTGGACTATAAATGAAAACAATAGCTTATGTTTGATTTGATTTTAAACAACCTGCTGTTTGTGATGTTGTCCATCCATCCATCGTCATCCGCTTATCCTGCGTACAGGGTCGCGGGGGGCTGGAGCCAATCCCAGCTGACATCGGGCGAAAGGCGGGGTACATCCTGGACAGGTGTTTGTGATGTTGTATTTGATTTAATGTTGAATAGAGGGTACCTCTTTATTTTTTAAATGATTAAGGTGATTTGTCATTTTCATATTATTAATAGAACCCTCAAAGAGGTTATATTTAGTTTTATAATGAAATTAATCACTTTTTTACTGCCTGTTTGTGAACTGGTTGTAACCGAACACCAAAATGACCTTCTTGGCTGTTTTGTGTGTTGCTTGGAACAGACACTATCCTGCTTCCTATGTCAAGAAATCTGGTTGGATTTTCTGCATGTCCGCTCCCGAGCCTCTTGCCTACTCTTTCTGAACTGTACACAATTTGACAACACCACAGCTAACAAAGTGGAGTCCGCTTACACCAAAAAAACATCCGGCAGTTTTCATCTGCCACTAGCGGTGCCACTTTTCAGTAACTATCATTATTATTTGTGTCTTTTTTACCGGAAGCTCATCGATGTCAACACAGCTAAACGTTTGGATGATAAGGAAATGATTAGTGAGCTGGACTGAATATTATAACGAGATTGTGTCCACACTTTATAACTGTTAGACTGTTAAGTAACATTACTGTAAGGTTAGTGGATGGGTTTTCCTCAGTATTACAATAATGCAACATAACTGCGTAGGACAACACCACAATGGAAGATCCATTCACTACAGTAACATTACTTACTGTGGTCTGTTATACTTAAGTGCATGGATTAGTTCAACGTCAAGCTGATAAAATATTGCTGTACTGAAACCTGATCGCTATAGGCCTCTAAAAACTGCACATGGGTCCTTACCAATACGTTGGTTGTATAAAGTGTTGAGCCAGTTGAAGGCTAACGTAGCCTTGTCAAGCTACACCTAGCACTACGGGATTTTGTTTTTTGCTCCATCTGTATATTTACAGCAAGATATTTTACACTTCTGCTCCCCTGCAAGACAGGATGTGATGCTTTTTTATGTTGCGAGTTTGTTTGGAGCAAACATTAGTCGTTAGATTGACCAAAAGCAGTGTTTTGATTTCCCCTAAAATCCATAATAAACCTTTTTAAGATTGGTCACTGTTTGCCCCAGACTTGTATCTCACTTTTTATCTTTTCATTACCCATGATGCTCTGCCCCTCTCTATCTTCGTTCTGTAAACACACATCACTTTATCATGTTACACCTCTTTCTCTCCCCTCTCTGTCCATCATCCCCCCCCACCACCTCTCTTTTCATTGTTTTCCTCCCCTCTTTCTCTCCACCTTCCTTTTTTCATTCTTTTTCTCCCACGTCGCTTCTCCGATCCTTCAATCTCTTTTCCCCGCGCTGTCACCTTTTCATCCTTAGCCGTTGCCTCCTTCGCTTTCTATCCATCCTTCTTCATCTCTGGCCATTTTTCCTCTCCGTCCATCGCTCTGTGTTTCTGCCTCCATTAGGGGGAAATGGAAAAAGTGACATCAGCTATTTGGTAAACGGAGAGAGAGAGGGAGAGAGAGAGAGAGAAAGAGAGAGAGGAGATGAAACAGAGGATAGGGAAATGGAAAGCAAAGATCAAAAGAGTGACATTAGGAATGATTGTTAAAGAGAGAAAAGAAAAACAAGGGAAGAGGGAAAAGAGTGACAGGTGAGAGAGAATTAAAGACAGACGTGTGAGGAAGAGAGGGCGAGAGAGGTAGAGATCCATTAGAGAGAGAGAGTAAGAAAGAGGGAAAGGCTTCACCCCATTAACCTCGTAATGCAGAGTAAATATACAGTCTAAATGGAACATAGACGATGTGTGTGTGTGTGTGTGTGTGTGTTTACTCCCAGGCTTCTGTGTGAGTGTGTGTCCACGAAATACATTACCACAATACCAGAGTGCCTTTCTGTATTTGTAGTGTGTGTGTGTGTGTGTGTGTGTGTGTGTGTGTGTGTACAAAATACCAGCGTGTATGAATGAGTGTTTCCCCCTAGGAAACTACTATTGTCACAGAGGGGGCGTGTTACACATACGTGGTGTGGTAACTAATTTTTGCCTGTTTAGGTTAGTCACTTTCTCTGTTCCTCTTCTACATTTTTACCGTTAAAGTTCCTACCTCCTGACAGAGCTTGCTACAGTCGACAAAGGAAAGTGCCCAATGATCTCTGTTTTAATTTTTCACAAATTCCGTGTTTTCTGTTTACATTTTTCTGAATTCTGTGGTTTACAATTTAAAAGAGGCTATAAGTAGTTTTGATTAATAAATCAAATTTTTACTTCCTTTTTGTCAATAGGCTCTAATCATACTAAGAAACGAAGCGCACGGCTGTTTTCTCTGTTGCTTGGAACAGCCACTATTCTGTTTTTAATGTGAACAGTGACAACACCGCAGCTAACGACATGCAGTCCACTAACACCACAAAACAACCAGCTCCCAGTAAAACACAGACTTCAACATAAACTCCACATAAGGATACAAAACAAAACAACAATAAAAGGTTTATGTGCTTAGGCCCCTCAGGCCAAATGAGAATTAGATGATGTTGGTGAAAACAGTGAACATCAGAAAGGCTGGAGACACGGTAAATCACGTTAGCTCGCTGGCTAACGCCGAGCACTTGCTAGAGTTATCCAGTGCAAAGTTATATCGCTTTCCACATTACTTCACCAGCTAACGCGACCCATGTTACTCTCCTGTGTACCACTGGTATTATGTCAAAATGTTGATTTAGCCTGCAAGAAAGGATGTAATGGTAAAAAGCAAATGTGGAGCGATTTGTTTATATTAACCTATAGTGATAACGTGATCGACATAATATACTGCAGCAAAACAGCCACAACAACACAGAGGAAGAAACACTCACTATAGTAATATTACTTATTGTCTGTTATAAGTGTGGCAACAATCCCATTTATAATATTCACTCCAGCTCACTGTTTCGTTATCATCTAAAACATTTAGCTGTGTTGAGCTTCCGGGGAAAGATACACAAATTACGTTACTTACTGAAAAGCAAACAAGCGAGCTAACACCAATGTATCACGTTGACAAAATGCAGTAAATGTAACGTTATCATGTAACCAGCATGGATTAGTTCAACCTCAAGCTAATAAAAATATTACTGTAACGTTGCAGTGGGTCTTCGGCATGTTGTGTGAAGCTGTCTCCCTGTCTGTCTATAGCTGTCATCTGTATCTGCCTCTGAAATGGGAACGTTGAAGTAACAGAACCTGAACATGTTTGAGTGAAAAGCCACAGCCGGCACGCTGGTGTTTCCGCGTTGATTGTGGGATCTCTGTATGGAAGTGGTTGTGTTTCGGATTATGCTCGCTCATGCGTTGGGTTGGGATGTAGCCCTACAGTGACAACACCGCAGCTAACGACATGCAGTACACTAACACATCAAAACAACCAGCTCCCATTCATGATTCAAGCACGCATACTAGCGCACACCTGGTTTCAGTCTTAAAACCGCGCCGCTAGTGGCAGCTTAAAACTACATAATGCCCCTTAAAGCATATGCCGTCATCATAAACTGTGTGTAATCATGTGGTGGATGAATAAAATTTCAACAATTCAATATGGAAAATATTACAAATTGAATCAATATTATATGATATTTGATGTATCCTGTAAATATGCAGATAGAAATATTCAAATGTTTGTGCAGTAAACAAAATTGAAAACCAATATGTAGCGGGACTCATGAATGGGGTAAAAAAAGCGTTCTCTCTCACAGCACAGAGGAGTTTGTGTCGGGGTTCTTTGCTCGCACTACAATGCGTACAATGCCGGAGTCAACCATCACACTGGTCAAACATGCTCGGGCACGGTACAGAAATTCAAAGTATCCTGCCCAAGGAGCCGGTGGATTGAACCGATGATCTTCTGATTAATGGACAACACGCTCTATCTCCTGATCCACAGCTGCCCACTTACTTGTTCCTGGAACAGTTTGTCTTAAAGACTCTTGAAGAGTCTGTGATTCAGACTTGTCGAGCTCTGTCAGCATACAATACTGTTAAGCACTGTGTTTTTAACACCACCACCAGATGGTGATAAAGTCACAAATTTTAAATGCCACACACAAAAACCTTTTGTAGACATCAACAGTTTGTATTTCTGATGAAACACTGCTAGAAATGTTTATTATTTATTACTTAAGATCAGTTTTCACCAGGGCTGTCTAATTTTTCTACAAGCAAAAACGTGTGTGTGTGTGTGTGTGTGTGTGTGTGTGTGTGTGCAAAACACCACTAAGACAGCAGTCATTATAATACTGTATATTTGCAGTCAGCTCAAACCCAGAGAACAGTGAGAGTCATCAGGAGAAAAAAACAAAACAAAAACAAGAAAACGCTGAATGTTGTTTCTATCTACAAGGAATATCCCTTTTAATCCCACACCCCACCCTCATCCCTCACGTACACATTTCAAATAGTAATCAACAAATAAACAAATAAAACACACAGTGGAATAAACAAAACTGCAACACAACAGTCTGCACTCTTAGTAGGTCAGAAAATCAGGGGAATAAAAAGTTTCTTGTGTTTGATGTAGCTGAGGAGCGCTTGATTTCAGGGATAAGTTCACAAAATCCAACCAAAAAGGGATCAAATTGAATTTAAGTTATTATGGAAGGTTATGATAAAAGTTTGCATGGGAGGCGTTTAAGACACACAAATGAACTGCTCCTTGTTTTTAAATTGACATCAGAACATTAGAAACTCAAATACTACTTCCTGGTCACAGGAAACTGGGGATCAAAAGGTGAAAAGTTCCAAAGTCAAGGAAGAGAAGTCAACGTACCTTTGTTTTTTTTTGTTTTTTTTTTTGTTTTTGTTTTTGTTTTTGTTTTTTTTAGGATATAATATCGTGTCTAAAAATCACTCCATTGTAATACAAAAAAAGGGTTTGCTGTTTTTTGTTTTTTTTGTAACTTTTGCATCATTTGAGAAACTGATTTCACAGGTTAAGGGTGATAGAAAATACTTCATACATTGAAAAGCTGCATCCAACAATTTTAGAGTAATGCCTCCTTACAGAGAGAGAAAAGAGAAAATAAAGGAGTAAGACAAAGGGGGAAAGAGTCAAGCAAATAAAGAAGTAGCGACAGAAGAGGAAGAGGAGCTGATTCATAGGAAACAGGAAGAAAATAAAGGAATGAAGAAAAGAGAGTATAACGGAGAACAAGAGTTGTCTGGAGTTAAGAGTGTACGGAGGTTAAAATAAGCCAAATGACAACATAAGAAATGTTTTCCCATGCATGTTTTTTCAGTCCCTGTACAGAAAACAAAACTCAATGAAACAGAGAGACAGAAATAGCCTCCCAAGTTTGTTTTCCTCCTCCTTCCTTGCTTCAGTTTTTTTTCCCCTTCTTTTTCCAAAACCCCCTCTTCCTCCAATTAGCTGATAACCGTCCAATCAGAGGGTGCTGAGAGAGCCAGCCAATGAGGTTGACGTTGAAGTTAGGGGTTTGAATCTTTTGTTTTCAATATTTCTTTAGGGGAATGTAAAGAAAAACATTTTCGTCATTATTTTTTTCATCCATCCATTTGTTTCTTGTCTGCAACAATCAAACACTTGGACCATTTAACAAGTCTTGAATTGATCCTTGGTGTTATTTTTCCACACGATGTCCAACCTATTTGTGATGACGAGAGCGGGAATGATTTTTTAATTTTTTTTTTCAGTTTTCCAAACAAACGAGGGATGAGAGAAGTCCTGATGCAGGGAGAGAAAAAGAGGAATGACAGGAGTGAAGTTTGTCCCAAAAAGAAGAAAGAAATAGCGAGACGACCCCCAGCGAGTCCAGATCAGGGGTGTGTGTCTCCTAGTAGTCTCATCGCTTTATAGCAACATCAAAAAAAGTTTGCGCGTAGCAAAGATAGGGTCCCGCCTGGGGAGGTCGTTGCAGTGGTGATCCAGGCTACAGCTGTGGAAACGGGCTGGTGGAGTTCTTCTGTGCAGGAGGGGGGAGGAGGTGGGGGTGGGGGTTTCTGGAGGCGGAGTCCTTCTTTCTAGAACATCATGGGGGTCTTCAGAAACGCCCGGGATTCTGAGAAAAAGAAGAAATATGTAAAAAAAATTTTATTTACATTACATTAAGTGGTTGTAGCGAACTACGGCTGCAATTAACAGTTATTTTCTTTATCGATAAAACGGCCAATTTCTTCGATTAAGGGATCAATAGTCATGTTAGAGTTGACATAGTGGACATGTTGACATAGTGGACTTTCTCCGACCAACAGTACAAAACCCTAAGATATTTAATTTACTATCATAGAATTGGCAAATATTCACATTTGAGGAGCTGATAGAGGTGATATTATGCTTTTTGGCTTTATCAAGTTATATATCTTATGTGCATGTAATAGGTCCACCTCAAAGGGAGTTCCCATATCCCACAGAAAACACTGCTCTAAACTGCCTGAAATCTTGTAGTCCAGCCTTTACTTAACCTATCTGCGTCACTAAGTAACACGCATCATAATGCTCGCCTGTCGCTGTTGTGGAACACGCTGAGCTGCAGCACACACAGTGACAAGACGCCTGCCTGCTGCTTCCCCTCATCCCCACCCACTCTACCAAATGTTAGATACCATTCAGGCTGTCGGTTATTAATAATGTGATGTCGAGACAGGGCACAGTTAGGACGTTGCGCATGAAAGATCTCCAGTCTAGGTTGGGAACTTGTACAGCTGAACTATAGCCATGGTTACTTGTAGGGATGAAACTGTATGAAAATTTCATATCACGATTATATTGACCAAAATTATCACGGTATTGTAAAAATGTGCCAAAAAATATTAAAATGTACTGATAAACACACTGAAACCATTTCAACAAGTTTTATATTTAAAACTACAAATACAATTGCCATTTTGTAAACAAATGAAAATCATCTGTGCATTTTTAAGAGTTTATATTTTATATTATATAGGTAATACAATGATCCCGTGGACAATTACATGAAAACAAGTCTTGAAGACAGTGATAGTAACTGCAACAACTGACGTAAATACTAAGTCTGTAGCGTTTCTAGATATGCTGGTTGGTTGACTAAACTGCATAACGTGTTATCATGTGCAGTGGACAAATAGACTCTGCCGACGCACACAGCAACAGAACAACGTGTAGCGTTTTTACAAGAGTAGCAACACTGAGAGCTTCAGTTTACACGCTGTTAGCAAGTCAGACAGACAAACCAAAGCTAAAACTCACCCTGTGTTCACTGTAAGGTTCTTAAATCAAGTTTCCCTCAGCACTCTCATAAAAAACTAAAATACGACCGGACTTCAGAGTGACTGCGCAGCGTTGTCTTCTGCCGTGTTGTCATTGACCCAAACAAACCCACGTTGCATTCTGCGCATGCGCACCTGCTTCTGGGAGACGCTGGACAGTGTTTGCCGTGAGATTATAATAGCGCGGTTAACCGTACCCGGTTATCATGGTAATTAAAATGTGTACAGTAATAATAACCGTCGGAAAATTTTACAATGGTTTACCGTTAAACCGGTAATCATTTCATCATTAGTAACTTGCTTGTCAGGACCCGCCCTACTCTGCTTCTGATTGGCTAGTAGTTCTTAAACTAAGAACTGCACATGTGCAACTCGTAGACTGTATATTAAAAGTGCAACTCCAAACAAAGGAGAATAGAAGTGAGATGCTTCACTCGGTAGCTAAAATGCTGCGGTCAACACACATGTAAGAGAGGAGCTGCAGCAATGTGCAATCTGACAAAATTATGGTGTTAAAATAAAAATAAGCTAATTAAACTAGTAGCGCCGCTACTGCCCAACACTGCTCGTATGGTGGGCGTGTTGAAGCAAGCTCGGTGGCAGTAGAGCGCTGAGACGATGACTGCACCGGCTCTGTCTTGTTGCAGTCAAAGACGGAGCAACTTTCTGCTCTTAAGTTTATTCAATGCACAGTGAAGGGCTTCACCAGGGTTGTCGCGTTGCCGCTCTTGGCCACAATTATCTTGCGTCACAAATATTGCATCGCGCACCGTTGCATCAAGCCTGGTGCAATGTAGCCACGCTTTTGATTTTCTCCACGAGCCACGTCTCTGTGCGTAACCGGCGTGAACTAGTGTTTACATCACCACAGCCAATTACAATCACTTTTAGATTTGGGCACATCAAGCATGCTGAATGCTTATTGGCTCACTGACGTTAACAAGAACCTTTTAGGTTTCGAAATTTGACAAGACATTTTTTGATACTCCACGGTATTGAGGCAATTCGGTCGGTGCCTAAAAAGTATTGAACTCGATACCCAGCCCTACCGATGACCAATATTTGGAAGCGATATACATTTGCTTTGAAATTTTTAATCTTGGTGTCAAAATTTAGATTAACACAAACTAAAACTTTTTTGAAAATAAGATTAAAGTTAATCGTCATGTTTAATCTTTATAAATAGTAAATTAAATGAATTGAGATGGACTTGTTAACTATGAGTGATAAATTATCATAAACTTTTATCAGCTACCATTTATATTGTATTTATTTTATATTGTTAGGATTTTATTGATACATTCATTGATACTATTTATTTGATCTGTTCCTTATCTGTACTTTTATTGGGTTTCATTACTTAATAATTGCCTTTAAAAATATTATTTTAATTAATTTTATTTAAAGAATAAATTCAGAACAAAAGTGAAGTTTACAGCAGCAAAGTCACTATATAAAATCAGTATCTGATTGGAAACAAAAGGAGCATGTTAAATAAACTATATTCCTGACATCAAAATACAGTTTATTTTGAAGACAGCAGTCCGTGGCAGTCCTCCTCCTCCCTCTGCTGTTGCTGTAAAGAGGACCTGGTTTCTCTCAACAAGCAGCTGAGTTTACAAGGATAAATTTTAAGGTATGTAGCATCTCAGCTGAACAGGCTACATGACAGAGATTTCATTTTACCTTGTTTATGACAAACTAGATATTAGCCGAGCTAGCACATGTGCTTGTGTAAAACCAAAACACAGCTGCGGTGGATGATGTGAGCAGATTAAATATCGCTCTGTGCACGTTCCTGCTTGTTGTACTGACGCAGTATCAGCCTTTTACTAGTACTGCTGGTTTTGCTGCACTTACTTATAGTATGGTCAACTTGTGTAAGCTACACTCCGCTAGCTCCGCTCACTTCGCTCCGTGTGTGTGTGCGTGCACGCGGAGCTCTGCTGAGAGAAGAGGGGAGGGGCTGCGGTGTGATGGCTCGTTCTATTGGCTACTTCTGCACAATAGTCAGTGTTGATAGTCTATTACTCGTGACTTGTAACCAATCAGCTAGTACTGCGGGCGGGACATTGTACTCACCACTCTGAGGGCTGGAGCCACAGTTTATGGATCGAATCGGCTACTGCTGTAAAATTAAACACCTCAAACTAGCTGATCAAATTTCATTCTCAGTTACAATTTTGCGACAAAACAAGATAATTGAGATAAATTGATAAAGCTGCATTATATTCAGCAGTGATCCCCTAATTTTGTCCTGTTATAAGTCACCCATTTTAGGGGTCATTGCATTTATTTATATAATAAATATAAATTTACTATTATTATTAGCCTTTTTTTGTTTAAGTTGAAGGAAATCCACTGTTGAAAAAGTTTTTCCTTTAAAATATCAATAAATGCATAATTTTTCCAAAGTCAGTGAGTAATCATGTTAAATTGTGCAAAATAATCCTGACATGATTTCTGCAATAATCGAGCAGCCCTAATCTCAAACTAGAAGCCTCAAACTCAAAAATCTTTGTTCCATCACCCAGCTACACTGTAAGAAGTGTGGTTTCTAACCATCACCTCTTGTTGCTTCCACCTCCACAATCTCTGGTGCAGCTTTAAGTGCATTATTAAAACGGTGCAAATCTAATTTGTATAGGAACTTCATACTTTTATCAAGATTATTAAAACAGGACCCTATTTTAGCTGAATGTGTTGCATCTTGTTCTCCCTTTATGCAGCATCCGTTTATGATAGAAATCTCATATCTCCAATTTTGCCAGGGTCGGCTCTCCATCTCCCCCTCTCTCTCTCTCATTTCACCTCCGTCGTTCTCCTTCCGCTCCCCGTAGTGCTGTTGCTGCACCCCCACACACACACACACGCATATAACAGACAGAAACACACTCACATGCACACCTTCCTCTCCCTGCGGTGTCATTGTTTTCTGCGAACGTTGCAAAGTGTTTACATTTCTGCATAACAGCAACCATAAACCTGCCCTCCCTCCACTTTCCATCCTGCACTCCTCTTTCTCTTGCCCTCCTCTACTTTTTTTTTTTAAACTTATCTTTCCTCTGCTCTTTGTCATCATCTTGCCCTCTCATTTTGTCCTCTATTCATCATTCTTTGTTTTTTTAAGGATATGAAACAGGTTCGAGGTCTGTGTGAATGGGGAAAAAAAAAAAAAAACTTTCTTAAATTTTCTCTTTCATCTTGCACTCGCCTCTCGTTTCCTCCTTCATATTCCCTGCCTTCCCTCTTTTTCATCCCTCTCATCTCCTGCCCTTCCCTATTTTTATCACTCCACGATCCACTCAAACCCCCTGCTCTCCTCCTCTTTCATCCCTCTATTCTACATGCATCCCCCTCCTCCTCCTCCTCACCTCCCCTCTGCTCCCTCCTGTCCTCTATCTGTTACACTCATATTATTTTTATCCCGACCCATTCTTCTCTCTGTCCTCTCCTGTCCTTTCTTTTTCTCCTTTAGGCAGCAGGTTTGGCCTGGTGCTTAAAAATTGTCCTGCAACTTAAAAAAGTTGCAGCTTTGATCCTGAAAACTTGAATCTGTAACTTAATAACTTAATGTCATCGCGGTCGAAGGCTGTTTAGACGTTTTCTGTGGCTGGATTATTGTTTTGGCATGCCACCTTTCTCCCTGATGTAATTTCTTTTGATTAATAATAAATAATTGATCTATAAAATGCCATAAAACTGGAGAGAAAAAAATGCCCAAGTATATATTTAAATATCTTATTCTGTCAGACCTGCATTCTAAAAATCAATATGTTCAATTTACAACAATATAAAAGCAAATAATAACATCTGAGAAGCTCGAACCAGAGAAAATTGATGCAAATGTATGTATGTATTTGAATATTCAATTAATTAACTAATTGTTTCAGTTCAAGTAAAAATGGTAATTCTGTTCAAACCAGAGCAGTCGCACAGTATGGTATGTTTTCCGCCATGTTTATGGTTTCAGCATGCCTTTAAAATAGAGCTGCAACAATTAATCAATTAGTTGTCAACTAATTAATCTGCAACTATATTGATAATCGATTAATAGGTCTGAGAAAATTATACTGAAAAAAAATAGATAAAATTTCTGATTTCAGCTTCTGGAAATCTTCTGTTTTTTATTTTTACTCCTCTGACGGTAAACTGAAATTCTTTGGGTTGTGGACAAAACCTGACCTTTTGAGGACGTCATCATGGGCTTTGGGAAACACTGATCTTTCACCACTTTCTGATATTTTATAGACCAAACAACTAATCGATTAATTAAACTAATCCACAGATTAATTGACAATGACAATAATTGTCAGTTGCAGCCCTACTTTAAAATAAAGCTGCAACTAACGGTTATTTGCATCAGTACATTTATCAGAAAATAGTAAAAAAAAATTAAATAAAAGACTTCAAGAAGAGTTCAAGCTGACGCCTTCAGGTGTCTTGTTTTGTCTGACAGACAGACCAAAAAATATATTAGGTTTACAGATGTACTGGAAATAAGGAGAAGCAGTGAATCCTGGAGAAACTGCGAGCAGAGGATGCGTGAATTTAATTGATTAATGGATTTATAAGAGAATAGTTGCCAGTTAATTTAGAAAGGGGGGTATTTCATTGTTTGTCTATGAGACCACAAACAAGTAGAGTGAAATCCAAGATTAATTATTTGTTTGTTAAAAAACGTTATCAGACGTTTTTTTGTTTGTTTTTTTTACACCCACACGTCGATATCATTATTAACCTCACAAATTCAGCATCAGTCCGGTTAAATTCCAGTATGATTAATGTACTTGACATGAAATAAAACAAGACATAAACCAACTGATGTCAGTAAATCTGTAACAGTGTCAAGTTTTTTAAAGTTCACATAGACACGTACAGTGTTTCCAGATAGGCAATGTGAATAAAGTTAAATCTAAAATAAAAAACAATGTTGGATGTTGGGCATCACGAGGTACAGCAGTCAAAAACACATGTAACGCTTCACAATCTCATTTTATTTATTCTAGTTTGCTTGATATGATAAAGCAAAAAGATTAAATCACAACATGATTCCACTGAAAGACAATTAATGATAATGAATTTATATATTTTTTTTGTATTCCAGTTTTCCAAGATGTTCCTGCAGTTTCCCTCACCGCCGTCCAGTCGATTTAAAGTTTTTCAATCTGTGAGTAACTCCTTCATTTCCTTTTGTGCATTGCCTTGTGGGACAGTAAGTGTCCAACAGCACTACGCTTAAAAAGCAGGGCACCTCTTCCAGTACATTCATTTGTCAGTTTCTTTAAGTGTGAATTCACCTCAGACCAAATGTGGAGTTAGAATAGCCTGTAGAGTGGAAGTGACACACATTTATTTATTTTTTTATTTAATCATTTTATTGTTTGTGCTCATGTTTCCTGTTTTCTTCTCCTACTTTACCTTTTCTGACCTGGCAACCCTGTTTCCCCCTCCTCTGTGTGTGTGTGTGTGTGTTGCCTGTCCTGGTTAAAAATGACGCTGACCTGCCTTGTTAAAAGTCTATCAGCTGGGTGGAGGAAAATGTCACCAGGTCTCGGAACAAGGTCACATTTTTCAAACTCTACCTCCTGAGGAATCTGCTCACTCCTCCCCCTTTCCCCTGTCCTCCTTTTCCTCCTCGCCTCCTGTCCCATACATCCCTTTTTTCCTTACCATTTTTCTGCTGTTAATTCTTTCTCCCCTTTCCTCCTCATCCATTTCATTCTTCTTTTACCTTCTTGCCCCCCCCCCCCATTCTATTTATACCTCTTCACTCCTCTCTTTCTCCTCCTTTTCTTTCCTTTTGACACTTTTTCTTTTTGGTAATTCTTCTCTTTTTTTTGTCCTGACTATTCCATCTTTCATCCTTTATTTCTTTCCTTCCCCTATCTCTTCTCCTTTCTCCCCATCTGCTTTTCCCCCTCCCCATTTTTAGTTTTCACACCCCTTTCCTTTTCTCTCCTCATCTTCTCTTCCTTCTTCTTTTGTGCAGTCTTCTCTTCTTCTTGTTCCCCTCCTCCTCTTATCTCCCCTTTTCTTCTCCTCCACCTGTTCATCCTTCCTATATACATACTTTCCTTTTCTATCCACTTCTTCTCCACCCCTTTCCTGTTCCGCTGTCCTCACCTCATCCATTTTATTGTATTTTCCCTTTTTTTCTAACCATATTCCTTTTTTGTCACCTCTCCCTTTCCATCTTTAATCCCTCTCCTTTCTTCTAATATCCCCTTCCCTTCTGTCTCCTCCCATCTTTCCCACCTCCACCTGTTCTTCTTCCCCAACTTACTTCTCACTTTCCATTTTTCTATTCGTGTCTCCCTTTCCATCCACCCTCTCATCCTTTTCATTCCTCTTTCCACCTCTCCTCACACCCTCCCTCTTTCTCCTCCATTCCCCCCTCCTCCTCTTTTATCATTACCTTATTGTCTTCCCTGTCCCCCCTCGTCATCCTTCCTGTCCTCCGCTTGTTTTTCCTTCTCTCCTCATTCTATTTCTTTTCTTGCTTTCTAATGCTGCTCCCTCTTTCATCCATCCATTTCTTCAACTCTTGTCCTCCTCATCCTACTCCACCCTATCATTTCTACTCAATTCCCTTGGATTGTCCCCTCCCCCCAAAATCCATCCTACTGTTTAACTCCTCATCGCCTTTGCCCTCTCTTCTTCCTCACCTTTCCTTCTCCATCCCTCTCTATATTTTGCACGGCCAATTAGTTTGGACGGCTTTTAAACCGATCTTACCTCTTCTCTCCTTAAACCCTCTCTCACTCTCCCTTCTTTCTCTCCCTCTCTTTCTGATTGTAATGCGATGTCTTTCTTTGTATTCAGCAGTTTTCTCCTCACTCGTTAATTAAGAGTGTGAGAAGGTGAGAGAGGCAGGGGAGAGGTGTGTATGTGTGTGTGTAACCCACAAGTAAACCACTGTAGGTGCAAAATGCTTTTATGGCAGGAGGGATGAGTGTGTGTTTGTCAATGTGTGTGTGTGAGCAAGGCAGCAAAGGGGTCCTACCGGGCCAATCAACATTAATGAAATCAGGTGGGTCTGTGTGTGTGTGTTTGTCGGACTGCTTGGCTTGCAGAAGAGAGGGGATCTAAAAGAGGTCTAAAGAGGAGAGAGAGCTAATTAGAGTTCCCTGTCTCACCAGAGTGTGGATCAAACCCACACACTGAAATACACAACTACAGGTAAAGCTTGCACACACACACACCTCGAGAATGTGTATGTGTGTGCCTGTAGATATTCATTTATACACATGCAGAGTTTCAAGTGAAGGTTTTCAATGTCAGGGAGGACTGAGCACAGCTGGTGGAAAGAGGACGACACATGCATACTAACACACACACACACACACGCACGCGTCGGTACTGTACTTGTGAGGACCCTCATTGGCATAATGTATTCCCAAGTCCATAACCCTAACCTAAAGCTAATTCTGAGTCTTAACCCTCAAACAGTCTTTTGAGGAAGGCCAGACATGCCTTTGCTTTCTAAAATATCCCCTCTCATCTTTTAAAAATTAAGGGACTTTTCAAAGTGTCCCAACGTTGCAAATATTTACTAAATTTCCAAAAGTGCGGTTGGTTTTCAAACTGTCCTCGCTTTCCACAGCATGTCCTCATTTAAAAAAAAAAAAAAAAAAAAAAGTCCTCAATATTCAGAATGTCCTATTTCTCCAAAATGTCCGCCACTTCGTTTTCCAAAAATGGTCCATACTTTCCATAAAGTAATAATAACTTTATTTATATTACAAAGTGTCCTAATTTTTTTATAAAAAGAATCCTCAAATGTCCCTCACCTTCTTAAAATGTCTTAAATTTCTAACAATGCTCTCACTTTGCTAAACATGTCCCTGTCCAAACCCTCCGGGTCTACAATTCAAACCTGTCCTCAGCACAAATACACGACCTTAAAAAAAAACAAACAAAACAAAAACGTTGACACACTTATACACAGACATGAGCTCAGTGATGTATTTCCACACAAACACACGTGTGTCTGATATGGTTTACATCAAAGGGAGGCCACAGTGTCTCTGTGTCTGCTTAATGTCTCCACTAATCTAGCCTGGGCCCCAACACACACATGTGCTTACCATGTGTGTGTGTGTGTGTCTCTAAAACCTTGTAAGTCTGCCTTTGAACACACTTGTGTACAAGGTGATATCTGTTAATATGTGTGTGTATCAGCATGAATCTGCATGCCTGTGTGTGTTTTATGATTTTTTTTTTTTTTTTTTTTTATTGTTTGTGTGTTCAGGTTACCTTGTACAGCGCTGTTGTCTTGCTGGTTTCCATTAAGTTCAGGTTTATCCTCGGCTACAGCAGCGTCTGGTGTGAAACACAAAGACAAGACAGAGTCTCAGTGGGTCGGCCAATAAAAACCAAACAGCACCTTGTAACTGTGTGCAGGTCAAAAACAAACTGGGTGTACAAACAAAGCCGAGTCACAAACACAACCATTTGTCCAGAGAATTATATTTTTGGATGTTATTTTGTTTTTCTTTCTCTTGATGTTAATTGTCAAAGCACTTCAACTCCCCTGTAAAATATTTTTTGATATTAGAAAAAACAAAACATTTGGCTGCTTCCTGACAACAAACTCAATACTGTGCCAGAGAGTTGTTTTGGAAAACACAAGGTTGATGTTGTTGCAATTTCTATTAGTTACCGAAAGATATTGATAAGATTCCTTACACTGATACGCCACCCAAAATATAAGTAACATCATCCTCGCTGAACAGTGGTTTTAATATGATTGTATTTTTGCAGAGCTGCAACTAATGATTTTTTTTAATAGCTTAATCTGCCGATTATTCTCTCAATGAATTGTTGTGGCAGAATATAGCATCTTCAGTTTGCCAACAGTCCAAATTTGTAAAGTATTCAATTTACTCTTGTATAAGACAAACATTATCAAAATGTTTTTTTATTATTTTCATTATTAATTACTCAGTCATTTTAGCTTTATACTTTTGTCCTTGTGTGAACAAAGCTTGTGATCAGTTTGGATTCAATTCAATATGGAAGTCCAATACTGTGATGTCAATGTGCAAATGTGCTGGTCATTTTTGTTTTGTTTTGCAGACAGATTAACTGCACATTTACAGAAAAACAGCAGCAGCCTGAAATCAAAGTCTGTTTTTAAGAGCTTCAGTCAACAACAGCACATAAGTGTTGGTTTAGGTAAACACAAGGCTGGAAAATCATACCACAGACATAAGAGACAGACGGAGAAATAAGTGTTCATTTAGTAAATTATGTTCCCATTTAGAGGAAAATAGATGATAAAACAGTGTTTGCTTTAAGGAGTGGCTATCTTGTAATTAAGAAGTTGCTACCACGGAGTCCTGTCAATCAGGTTAGAGAGACTTGTATCCACTACACTGTGTACATTTGACCAGTGCAGTTGAAAAAGCTTATTAGGAGTCAGTTGTTAATTTTTTTGTAGTAAGTCTGTTTTCGCTAGTCAAAATTAGCATCCCAGTTAATATCACAGTTAAGGTGAATGATGGAGTACCAAGTTAGCTAGCGCCAACCTCTTGTCTAAATATGGTCACATCCGGTCGCCTATGGTTCCAAACAACCAAGATTGCGACATCCAAAATTTGAAACTCGAGGCTGCAAAGCTGTAGTCCGCAAACCAACGGGTGACGTCATGGCTACAGTACAGTTTATGAATCAAACAAAGAACCAAAAGTCTTTGAGAAGTAAGAATGAAAGAATAAGAAACAGAGATTAGCGCAAATAAGCCAAAACTGAAACAATGAAACCAAGAAAGAAGAAAAACAAGTAATGGGCCTTTCAGACAGACTGCAACTACTGCGCTGTGAAACCCATTATTTTCAATGGCTTGCGCCACGCCACGTCGGTTTGTTGCTGTGTCGAGCAAAACGCAAGCGCAGCACAGCGCACTGCTCCGCGACCTTGCGCACACGCTGTGGTCAAAGTTAAAAACAGTTGTACTTTTGCGCTAAACCATCTGAAAGGGCCATAAGGGGATTGGAAAGACACTTTAACAACATTGCTCTGTAAGATAAAAAGCTAAAATGGGAGACAAAAGACCGCAACCCTGAATTAAATCAACAGTTGTACCGTTCTTGGTGTTGTTGGCGACGTGCAGCGGCTCAGGAGAGGACGAGGACGAGTGTTTCAGAGCGTCCTCCACTCTCTCCCTCCTTTTTGACTCAAACTCCAGCGCTTCCTGCAGCTTCCTCTTGGCCTTCTTCTCCTTCTTCAGGCGCTTCTGGATGGAGGCTGAGAGTGGAAGATGAGGAAGAGACATGAGGCAAAATGTCTTCTCCTGTATGACGTTACTGTTCACTGTCCCAAAGAGTCATTTTGTGTTTATTTTTTGCTTGAGCCCATGTTCAGTTAACCTGCCTTAAGTACTTCTACTTGTCGGTTTGAAGTTCCTACATTTCCCAGAGTGCACCGTAAATCGCACAGTCACAGCAAAAACAAGTTTCTACGGCTGTGGCCGAGGGGATAAAGCGGGTTGCACACTAATTGGAAGGTCGACTCCTCCAAAGTGCCCTTGGGCAAGATACTGAACCCCAAATTGCTCCTGATGACTGTGTGAATGTTAATATCTGTTTCTGATGTGCAATTGGCGCCTTAGCCTCTGCCGTCGGCGCATGAATGTGGGGTGAATGTGACGTAATGTTAAAGCACTTTGAGTGGTCAGAAGACTAGAAAGGCGCAATATGAGTACAGACCATTTACCATTTACCCAAGAAAAATTATCTTCTCTCTCTTCCAGCCTTTTCTATCGGTGCTTTATGTTCTGGTGTTATTTTCAGCCCCCCTGGCTGTAACATAATGGATTTGTTCCGGTGTCGTCATTGACAAAGCATGTAAACTGTCTGTTTATGTGTTAGTCAGACCTCTGCTCTGTAGTTCGGAGGTGAGCTGTCGTTCCAGACTCTCCCTCATCTCTCTTTCTCTGTAGAGCTCCATCTTCAGCTCTCGTTTCTCCGCCTGGATCTGTTTGTCCTGCACCCGGGCGTTCTCCACCGCCACCTTCAGCAGGCCCTGAGACATGAGGGGGTTTTGGAAGAAGTCTGGTTATAGACATTTTTGACAATATGTAGATGTTGGTAATTTGAGCCACATTGTGTAATTCACAGCTGCTCCTCTCATTATTTTCTGTTTAAGTTTCCGGGTTTAATATTGGCTGTTTAAAATGCTGCATCTTTTACTCTAGTAATGGATATGATGGGAGCCCTGCAGTCAAATAAAAACATGATAATTTTCATACCACAAAACAAAGAAATTAGAAAGGGATTTACTGGTATTACCTGCACAGTTGTGCTTTTGTCCAATTGATTGCTTGGAGTAATATGCCAATTGAGTAATGGTTATAAATTGCTCCTTCTCCTTCTATAGCACTAGTTTAACTAAATAAACTGTAACATGGTATTAATATAAACACTATAAACTATCAAAGCTTATATTTTCCATAATCCTTCAAGATATGCTGCTTGTCACATATTTCCAACAAGGATCATTTTTCATATTTTTATGGAAGAAAAAAAATATATATATATGTGTGTGTATATATATATGTAGTCTAAATGTCTTAATACAACAGGGGATAAACCTGTAACACACATGTGCTGCTTCACAATAAAAAATGTCTTGTAATATGTAATGCAGGATTGTGTGCCGTATTGAAAATATTATGACACTGTAATGAGCCATCAATACTTAACACTAAACAGTTTTTAGAAAGGGGATCATACCTGTATGTTGGTGAGCAGGGTCTCCACTGACGACAGGCCGTCAGCGAATAGGAACGGAGCAGGGAAGCCAGGGGGCAGGGCTTGTCCCAGCGAAGACTCTTCTGTGAGGAAAAATCAACAAAAGTCTTTTAAGTACTCAGCCTCTTCTTTTTAAAATCAAATTTGACTTGAGTTTATTTTTCCGTATATTGGTTCACATTGTTTTGTTTTTATTTTTGAATCTGTTCAGTTTGTCATGAGCGTCAAACATTTTTATTTAATGACAAAATGAGCACAAGAGTTTTTAATGTTTATTATTTTCTTGTCATTGACACATTCAGTTTTAACAATAAACTTTTATTTTGACAACATTACTTTATGGTTCCATAATTTTTTACATTTTTGTTTCATGTTGCCTCGTAAGACATTTTGTAATTTGGTTGTATGAAAAGTGCTGTACAAATATAAATTATTGCTATTAAAATCATTATTACTACTGAACTATTATTGGGTCCATGAACTGAAAACCCGGATTAAAAGTTTCCCAAAAAAATTTAAAGAAATTCAGCTGCAAAAATTTTAGTGCATCAAAGTTAGCTTAGCTTAGCATAAAATCCACCTAATACAGTGTTTTCAGTAAGCGAATAAGTGCATTTTAACTATTCTTTTTATAGTCAGTGTGCTGCTTTAAAAAGTTAAATGACTAAAATACCAGTGCGTTTCTTTTAGTTACTAAAAAAATAAATGTGTTTGCAGGTTTCTGTCAGCGACACATTGTCACGAGCTTCTACTGAAGTTTATGAAATGTCGATGCTTACTAAGGTAGAAAAGGCAACGAAGCAGCATCAGAGAAATCAATTACACACACACACACAGGTCGTTAGTATTCAGACAATCATGTGTGGTACTAATTGGCAAGGATTAAAGACATCCTTTCTCTGTGTGTGTGTGTGTGTGTGTGTGTGTGTGTTCATTGCGAGTGCGTCACAGTGTCTGATCAGCCCTTAATGCCTAACACACTGACAACTGGGTTAACTCTGCTGTGAAATTAACGCTGATTAAGATGCACTCTAACTCACTCACTCACACACACACTCACACACACACTCTCTATCCCCTATCTGCCACTTCATCCATCCATCCATCCATCCATCCATCTCTTTTACACTCTACCTTTCCTCTCATATCTTTCTTCATCACCTTCCACATCTCCACTTCCACACTTGTTTTTCCCCTCGTCTTCATCTTTCCAATCCTCTGCTTTCTCCGTCACTCATTGTCATTTTCTTCCCAACTCGTCTTTCCTGTGCCCATCTCAGTGTTCTTTTTTGATTCTTTCCTGTACAATACTGACTTTCTTTTCTTAATTTATCCCTAATAAATTCCTCAATTTTCAAAAACGATGTCTTTCCTTCTTTTTCTTAAAGTCTGGTCAGTTTTATCTATCTACATCTTTCTATGCTTTAATGCTTTCCATAATGATTTATTTCCTGTTTTCCATATGTTCCTCTCCTGTCTTTCTGCCATTTTCTACTTTTTCAACATCTCACCATTCCCTGTTGCTCTTTCTCTGTATGTGCTGAAAAAGCTTTTCAGACATTTCTTCCCATTGTGACGATGAAATGTCACTTTTGGCCAAAAGAAAAAGTGGTAAGAGATGGAGTAAGAAGTGCAAAAGGGGTTGAAGGATGAGCACTAGGATGTGACGAGATCTCGCGAAATAAAAACATTTTGTTTGTGTGGCAGCATTTTCGGTACTCAGAGGAAACAATAAAACGGCGACACGACACAAATAAAATGTAGGCAACATTTAAAAAAAATCCATCTGCATTGTTTTGCATTTTGTAACTTTCAGTTGAATAAAAGACAACTTTTCCGGTCATATTTTGTCATTAAATATGTCTTAAAAATAGTGTTCACATATTATGTTGTCTTCGTGAGCTAAGTGCATCGTCATACTGCTAGTGAGCACCGTAAGGACAGTAGAAGATAACGCGGTGGAGAGGGGAGAATATAAGGGAAAAATTAAAATGGAGGAGGAGAGTACAGAAAGAGAGAAGGGAGGGAAAATATTAAAAAAAGAAAGACGGGCAATTTGGAGGGGAGAGAGAAGAGGATGAACAGACACTGGTTTTGGTGTCAGTGAAGTGCTTTTATTTTGAAAAAGAGCAGAGGGGGGAAGCCACTGCATCCTATTTAACCAAGTTACCGAGTTACACAGTAACTTCCTCACTGTCTGTCTCAGCTCATCGTTCCTTTACAACAGGCAGAGTGTTTGTGACTCGACGATTAATCCTCATTAATCAGAGTTTCATGTTTCAAATTCATACCAATCACCAAAAAGTGAAGCTCAACATTTGATTAACGTTGGATGCTTCCAATGGTCACACATTTGAATTAATCAAAAGCGTGACTAACGGGTCATCGACACAATCTGCTGACACTCGGCTACTTGTAGAAAACAGCACACTGAAACGGGCCGAGGATGTGACACACAGGAAGGTCATTTTCTATCACAAACACAGGTTTAGTTTATTATGTCATTCTGCTACAGTAATTGCTCCAATATACCTTCCAGATGGAGGGAGGCCACAGAGAACATTTTGTTGTCTGCTATTTCCCCCTGAGACGGGCAGTAAACACTTTCTGTGTCTGTGGGGCTTTTAAAAGTTTCCTAGTTATCGATAGGACTTAAATACCAGCAAGTATTTTAATATTTTAAATTAACAGCCCACAACTATTTAAATTCAGTATCTTTTCAATTTTAAGAAGACAATCGCAGAGGCGGTGACCTCTTTGAGTGCCGAAAAGTCTTGGTACACCTTGTTACACCAACACGTTGTACTAATACTCATTAACTGTAGTACTTTGTTGTATATAACTCACTCAGTGTTCACTGTCTTCTGTAACAGTGTCAAAGTCCAGACTTCCCAGTGTGCCTCAGCTCTCTGGACCGCCAGTTGCTATGTCCAGGCTACATAAACACAAGTCACAACTGTCTGTTTGGATCGATTCACACAGCCTACTTTAAATTTCTCAAAGTTGGGGAACACGTCCACGTTTATGAGGTGACCTGACACGTCTGCATATATCTGAGTTAAAAGGCGATATTTGGCTCAAAGCTATCTACCTTGATGTTTCTATCATTTAAAAATTTCAAGAGCCTTAACTTGTCAGTATGATGATGCAAGTTATTAACATGACCTGCATTTGTTTGCTTTTTTAGATCTTTTCCCAACTATGTTTTTAGTAATAATAATTTGGAGTAATCAGATTTTTAAACATTCCTGTTTACATCTGATTTATTAAAACCTCTATCTAGATGTGATGGAAAACCTCAAATAAATGTGGAAAAGATCACTAAACTTTCTGATCCTCAAAGTTCCATTGTGCTCAAAGTATCTGATTAGCAACGATAAGCGGTCGACGTTTGTGAAACTGCTGATGAACAGGGGGTTTGAAAGTGGGATGCTGGTCTCCCCAGGGGGGCTCCAAACTTTTTCAAGGGAGGCACAGTGAATGGAAGTGTAATTAGTAATCAAAAGGAGATCACATAAAATACTCTACATGTAGGGGATTTGGTTAAAGAGAGTTTTGGGGAACTTTTTCCCCACTTTATCAGTCAAAAACTATAATACCTCAGGACAGACCTTTATATATTTGGCGTAGTCTGAAGTTACGTCAAACAGCAATATTAGGCTATCTTGGCTCAATTGTTGAGTATCTATAGGAAAAAATAACATAATCATGATCATGATCCCATAGGCATCCAGGAATTTGAGTGAAACTAAGCAAGTATAACTAAAGGGGGGCGAGGGGGCACCTTTTCCCAAAATTTGTCTGACGTGACGCCCACAGTCTCAGACTTGGAAAACTCCTGCTGTATAGAAGAAAGTCTCATTTTCTTTTAGTTCCTAATGCTTGTGAAACAGGTCACATATTTGATTAAATGTAGGCATAAGGGCCCGTGTCCACCAAAGCGTTTTTTGCCAGGTGAAAACGCCACCTGCTGTTCTGAAAACACCTAGCTGGGAGCGCTAGAGTGCGTTTTGGAGGAGCAGTGGGGGGTTTTTTTCGAGACGCTGTGGTTGCTATGATACATAATTTCCGTGGAGGCGATGTGTTTCAAGTAGGATAGCCTACTTAATTTTACTGAATGTAAAAATGTCACCACAAAGTATGTAGGCCTACGTGCTCTGGCCTTTGCTCTGCATGAAGAGAAGACTGAAACATGAGAGCACAGACTGTCTATACGTGGGTTCATGAGATTTTGCGGGCGAGTAGGCAAATCGTTTCGTTTAAGATCGGATGTGTTCGGTGTGGTGTTTGTCCCGCCCCTCCTGCACTGTGATTGGACTGCTGGGTAAAAAGTGACAGTGACGAGCGCAGCGTTTTTCCCAAAGTTGAAAATTTTTCAACTCTTGGCGACCAGAAAAAAACGCTCAGCGACCCAGCGCTGAAAGACGCTGAGCGCCTCATCACGCTCCTGGCGTTTTTACCCGCTTGGAAAAACGTGGCGTTCCCATTGCAATGAATTGAAAAAACAATGGACACGGGCCCTTAGGGGAACAAGCAGCAGATGTCAATAAACAATAAACAAAATATTGCTGCAGAGTACCTTATTTTACTAAATGGATAAAAAGTGGATCAAAGTTTTTAGGCCCATGCCAAACAGCATGCAAGAAAGCTAAATCTAGATTTCAAATAGTACTAAAATGTTACCACACTTGGTAACAGGTGCATTTAGCTGTGGTGTAGTTGTTTTCTAACCCTGCATGCACAGTTGCAGCTGAAACTTGTCACGTCCCACAAGTGAAAACACACTGTCATTCTTTTTTAAATCACTAGGTAGCTTTTTCTTTGTTAAAGTTTTGTCCTTTATTTTTGTGTCACAGTGATGTCAGTGAGGCAGCCGCATCCCAACATGACACCAAATCTGTTTTTTCAAATTCAAGTGCAAGTGACTTTTGAAGCTGAATTTTTTTCCTTGTTCTTTAAGATCCACGCTCTTTGGAGAAGCAGCAACATATTATTTATTTATTTATTGTCCTTATTGATTTCAAAGGAAGCATCCCTTTTGCTGCTCATGCTGATGTCGGCAGTGGCGCTTCAGGAGTATGAATGGAGTGGAAATGAAGGAGGGAAAGGTGACAGGACGGACGAGGAGAGCAACGGATTAGATGAAAACAGAAGGTGTTATGAGAAGGTAAAATACAGAGAAGGAAACGATTGGAGGGAAGGCAGGCCCCACATGCTTTTAGTGTGTGATCTCCTGACCCCTTTTAGCCATACCTCCCTCACTTAGCCTCCCTCGCTCACCCCTCTCCCCATCTATCTATCTCTCCCTCCCTCATTCTTCTGATTGATGGCTCAGAGACAGGTGATCAATAGGAGGGGCAGAACATCCTGACGCTTCTGTTTCTCTGTTTGTATGTGTGTCTGTGTATTCGTCTGCAAGTGTGTTTTCAGTTGGCGTGTGTGTGTGTAAATAAATACAGTAGATGAGGAAAGCCCTACTAAGTGAGGACAATTTGTCAATTGTCAAAATGAAATGGGAGAGGGTTTAGATTAAGGTGGGTAATGGAATATTCCCCCTCATGTAAGTATGTGTGTCTTCTGTTGTCAAACAGTAAACAGACAAAAGTGTTCACATGCCTGTGCATTTATGAGAATACGTGTGTGTGTGTGTGTGTGTGTGTGTGTGTGTGTGGTCCGACCTTTGTCCTTTGTTATTTTCTTGATGGGTGCAGCGGGGTTGGGCAGTGCAACATCTGCGTCAGCTGACACCAATCCTGTTGAAAGAAACAGCACAGTGAGTTTGTGTGTGTGTGTGTGTGTGTGTGTGTGTGTTGGTTATTGGTTATTATGCGTACAGCATGTACAAGAGTCTATGGACCTTTTATTAAATGGGTGTTTTTTTACATGTACTTATGTGTATGTTTTCACCGCATGTGTGTATTTATATGTGTGTTTAATTGGTCTGTGTACATACACATTTAAAGTGCAGTGATTTGTGTGTCTGTCCAGGTGTGTGTACGATTTGTATGCATGTGAGAGTATCCACAGTATCTTTTATATTTTTATAATATTTGTCTTTGTATGTGTAGCAGGACTGGAACTATTATTTTCATTCCAGATCGATTAATCGGTCTCTTCTCTCCATTAATCAATCAGTTGATTGGCTTTTTATAGACATAGCCTTGAAGTGTTTTGTCAAACCAACAGATACCCAAAGTTAAAGATGTTTGGTTTACAAATGACTAAGGGAACCACTGGATAACATTTTTTCTTAAAAATTGACTTACATGAATAATTGATAATCAAAATGTGTTTGTGTGTACATACCCAGTCTTTCAGGCGAGCTGGAGGCCGAGCTGCTGGGCTGCGACTGCAGAGGAGTGTTGGTCTCGTCAACAGATGGAGAGAGAGAGGGACTGTCGCACACCCTCTCCTGGAGAGAGGGAGAAGGAATGAAGGAGGTCACTAAGAGTATCGATACAACCCTTCAACCTGTGAAGTCACTATGGGTTACTGGTGTCAGACATTGATTAAAGAGAAGACGCTAACATGTTGGAGCGATCAGCTGGTGACCGGAATCAGATCAGCTTTATTTGCCGTGACTGGGGCCGATCAGTGGGCAATCGGATCACCGGTCACGCATGCTGCACTGCATGATGGTTCCCATCATGGGCACAGCGGCACGGACAGTGAAGAAGACACAACGTTCGCAATTTATAATACCTGTAAGGCCAGAGTCTGTGTCCCCACATAAACCATGTTTCCATCTAGCTGTCAGGTGAATTTTAAGCGGCCTTTTGAAATGTCGCGAAAAAACAAAACAAAAGTAAACAAGACGTATGAGTTCCAAACCACAAACAAAACCAGTCGCATGGACCTCAGGACCATTGATCTTAGAAAAATGGAAAGAGGTCCTCTGAAATGTGTTTCAAGCGGCCAAGTTGCTACCAGCCATGTCTCCGCACGTTACGCGAATATCCAGCACGACGCGGATAGCGACAAGTTCGCTACGATAGAACTTAATCAGCAAAAGTGTTTCCATCTCCCATTTAGCGCATTCACTCTTTTTTGACAAATGTAAAAACCCACCTCAAGTGAGCATAAAAACTCTGCTGTTTCTATCAACCTTTTCCAATGTGATACTTCAAAATGCGCATTAAATACATTGATGGAAACACGGCTAAAGACTTTACTTGGGTATACAGATATACAGTGAGGAAAATAAGTATTTGAACACCCTGCTATTTTGCAAGTTCTCCCACTTAGAAATCATGGAGGGGTCTGAAATTGTCATCGTAGGTGCATGTCCACTGTGAGAGACATAATCTAAAAAACAAAAATCCAGAAATCACAATGTATGATTTTTTTAACTATTTATTTGTATGATACAGCTGCAAATAAGTATTTGAACACCTGAGAAAATCAATGTTAATATTTGGTACAGTAGCCTTTGTTTGCAATTACAGAGGTCAAACGTTTCCTGTAGTTTTTCACCAGGTTTGCACACACTGCAGGAGGGATTTTGGCCCACTCCTCCACACAGATCTTCTCTAGATCAGTCAGGTTTCTGGTCGCTGAGAGTTTGAGCTCCCTCCAAAGAGTCTCTATTGGGTTTAGGTCTGGAGACTGGCTAGGCCACGCCAGAACCTTGATATGCTTCTTACAGAGCCACTCCTTGGTTATCCTGGCTGTGTGCTTCGGGTCATTGTCATGTTGGAAGACCCGGCCTCGACCCATCTTCAATGCTCTAACTGAGGGAAGGAGGTTGTTCCCCAAAATCTCGCAATACATGGCCCCGGTCATCCTCTCCTTAATACAGTGCAGTCGCCCTGTCCCATGTGCAGAAAAACACCCCCAAAGCATGATGCTACCACCCCCATGCTTCACAGTAGGGATGGTGTTCTTGGGATGGTACTCATCATTCTTCTTCCTCCAAACACGGTTAGTGGAATTATGACCAAAAAGTTCTATTTTGGTCTCATCTGACCACATGACTTTCTCCCATGACTCCTCTGGATCATCCAAATGGTCATTGGCAAACTGAAGACGGGCCTTGACATGTGCTGGTTTAAGCAGGGGAACCTTCCGTGCCATGCGTGATTTCAAACCATGACGTCTTAGTGTATTACCAACAGTAACCTTGGAAACGGTGGTCCCAGCTCTTTTCAGGTCATTGACCGGCTCCTCCCGAGTAGTTCTGGGCTGATTTCTCACCTTTCTTAGGATCATTGAGACCCCACGAGGTGAGATCTTGCATGGAGCCCCAGTCCGAGGGAGATTGACAGTCATGTTTAGCTTCTTCCATTTTCTAATGATTGCTCCAACAGTGGACCTTTTTTCACCAAGCTGCTTGGCAATTTTCCCGTAGCCCTTTCCAGCCTTGTGGAGGTGTGCAATTTTGTCTCTAGTGTCTTTGGACAGCTCTTTGTTCTTGGCCATGTTAGTAGTTGGATTCTTACTGATTGTATGGGGTGGACAGGTGTCTTTATGCAGCTAACGACCTCAAACAGGTGCATCTAATTTAGGATAATAAATGGAGTGGAGGTGGACATTTTGAAGGCAGACTAACAGGTCTTTGAGAGTCAGAATTCTAGCTGATAGACAGGTGTTCAAATACTTATTTTCAGCTGTACAAATAAATAGCTAAAAAATCATACATTGTGATTTCTGGAATTTTTTTTTTAGATTATGTCTCTCACAGTGGACATGCACCTATGATGACAATTTCAGACCCCTCCATGATTTCTAAGTGGGAGAACTTGCAAAATAGCAGCGTGTTCAAATACTTATTTTCCTCACTGTTTATTAAGAATTAAGAAGAATTAAAATGTGAGCTAAGATGTAACCTTCAAGAAATATGGTGATTTCAAATAAAATATACAAAGAAATAATCTTATTTTGCCAGTGGAATAATGCAGATTTGCAGTTATGAATTGTGATTTGAGATACACCAAATAAGTGTGTCCTATACCGCTGGAGTAAGGTACTGTTATGTATTGCAATATCCTCTTTTTCTTTGATAAACAGCAGCCAACAAAATGAATATTGCACATACTCCCAACATTCAGACAATTCAGCCATCTCTTATGACGACATATAGTCTGCCACATCAGAGTGATTTGGCTTTGCTACAGTATTATGCAGAAAAGCCAACTGTCTGCTAGGTTTTAAAGATGCTGCTTCACTCATTCAAGAGGCTTCTTGAACTGATCAACTGGAAATCTCAACCCATAAAGACTTTTTAACTCATTCATTCCTCCAGAGTAATGGCAGGCCTTCGGTAACATGTATCCACACACATGAAAGAAACCCCTAAAGTACTCCTTGACTCCTACTGAGGAACTTTTACCGGGGTCCTCCATGGTTGTCATTTCAAAAAGGTGTGTGTGTTTGTTTTACCTTGATGACAGGCGCGCGGTGTACATGAGTGTGTATCTGCTGGGCTGCGGCGGCCATGTTGGCGATGGTGTTGAGGTGGTTCATCTGTGACATCGCCATGGCTACAGATGCAGGCGGCAGGCCCATGGGCAGCAGAGGGTGGGGCATCATCATGAAGGGCAGGTCCAACCCTGAGAGAGGAGGGGAGGTTAAAGAGAAGGACCAAGCAGGTAACAGCCTCGTGATTTTATTCCGAAATTTCCAGTTTGTTTCACAGTGCAGTTAATATTCTAAAATAGACACATGGTGGGCTTTTAATGGTAATGACGTTTAGAATATTTAAACATAAATATGTTACCATTGCAGGAGAACAGGGCTCAATGAGATGACGTCATAAAAGAGTGAAAATGTGATGAAATGACATAATGAATTATTTTGAGGAAGGCTAGTCTCCTCATCGCTCCATACAGAATTGATGTTTTCTTCGGTGGATGTCTAATGGTGTCTTCAGGCCAAAAGCGAAGCGAGCGTTAGGGTCGGTGAGTTTACATACAAAGTCAATGCAAAGGACGCGTAGAGCCGTGATTTCCTGTCGGGCGGCGCGAAGCGACACAAAGGGGGCGGTGCCGGCAAAGCGAAGGAAGGTTGAATATTTTCAACAAGCGAGAAAGTCGCATGACGCCGAGTCGCGATAGCCTATCAGCGTTGAGATTGTCCGTACGTCACCGACGGCTTCAGTGCGTTGTGTGGAGAGGGCCAGGCAGAGCGGGCGGTTGAAAATCTGTTGGCTGGCGGAGAGCTGCTAAAGTTGGGGGAGGAGCAGGGAGCAACGCTTCAGCTTTCGGACAAATAAACACCCGTAGTCGTACTGGATTATGCTACCCCGTTTGCCTGCGGGAGGAGCTCGGAGTAAACTGCTTTTAATAAATTAGTTTTTTACTTCAGTTTTTGGGATTACAACATTGATTTAATTTCACTCAAGCTTCTCAATAGCTAGCTTCCGTGCACATCCGGTTCCACTGTTGTCAGCATTGTTTGGCACGCAGAGCTCTGTTGGACTACTACTTCATAGTCGCATCAAAATTTATGTGACATCGTCACAACAATGCACTAGCGGGAGCCGCTGTGTAAGAAAAAATTCCACACCTCATCCCCTATCATTTGCTTGCACGCATTCCCTTTCTTTTATCTGAAGTCAACTTGGCCTCCATGTTTATTTCTGTACAACGGTGTATTATTTTGCACATGCAGGTCACATTTAGGTGGTGGCCAAATCACACTGGAGTCTGTACGCTTGTAGAACTGATGTAAAGCTGTAACGTTTCACTTAGCAGCTGCAATTTAAGAGCTTTTGGAAAAGTTTTTTTCACGTGTTATAACATCTCTTTTTTTCCATTGACTGATTGATAAAATTGTATGTCGTCAGCTTTTTCCACTATTATTCAAGGTAAAGTTATAACACTGGAGTCCACATTTTTATCGTTGGTTTGTCATCATCAGGAGGTTTGTTACCCATACAGTCAGCCATCTGGATCACCAGACTGTCACTACTATTTAATGTGTTCGTTTTCAGGACATGTACTCGAGACTCCGTGGGGAAAAACGTATTGATACAAAGTTATTTCTCTGGTAAGTGAAACAAGTCATTGATCTTGGTTCTGATTAGCCACTTTGACTTCGTACCATCTACAAACTGCAGGCAGCATCACATCAAATCTCCAATCCGTATTTTCTCTTTGTTTTTTTCGATAAACTGTGGACTGAAGCCTTTGTGCAACAACAGAGAGAAAGACTGGATGATGTCGTGTCTGTGAACTTGGGTTGAACTTAACCTTGAGGAGAGCGAGAGGGAGAGGTGTCATCCCAGTGTCAAATGTCTCGCTAATAAAAGTTGACAAAGCAAGGGAGGAGGGAGAGAAAGAAAGGCAGAGGAGAAAATATGGAGGTCAAAGGGTTAAAGGGTGATGAGGCGAAAGTGAAAGGAGGTCAGAGCTTCATTTTGTTGTTCTTTCCATGTTTTTTCCCTTTTCCCCTTTGTGTTTTTCCTGTCTGTCTTATTAATTTTGTGCTGTCCCGCAATATATTTTACTGTTTCTATTGCTTTATTCATCCCTCTTTTTCCGTTCTCTTTTTACTCCCTTGTGTTTCTCTCCTTACCTCGTTTCATTCATAGTTTGTTCTTTTTGCTTTTTTTCCTCCATCCCCCCCCTTCATTCTCTAGCAAAAAGTTTTATCATCTCTCTTTCACCATTTTATCTTTCCACACCTCTTTCTTCAGCCATCTCTCACTTTGTTCTCTTTTCTTTCATTCCTCCTCCTTTCCACATAGACACACAACACCGCATTTGTAAGGACGTTCCATTAACTTTAATTCATCCTTTAACCCTGAACCTCCAAAAAGCATACCCTTGACCTTTGACCCCTGACCCCCTCATCTGACCCTAAAATGCAAGCTCTCTCCCCACAAGACGTACACTCTTGAGAGGTGTTGTCTCAGCTGTCGACAACACGCACACAAAAAAAAATACTGCAGCGGCTGCTTTCATTCCAATGAAACAATAACACTGATTGCTGTTGTTGAGACAACTGAAGTGATAGAATAATCAATGTGAGTGTTTGTCACCTCCCACTGCCCAGTGTGTGTGTGTGTGTGTGTGTGTGTGTGTGTGTATAAATACGTTACATCTGCACTAAGAAAAAGAGCGAGTATGAGTGTGTTTCTGTTTGTTTGTGTGTGTGTGTGTGTGTGTGTGTGTGTTTGATAAATTGAGTCATTTATTAGAGTGTGTGCTGATTAATCCAGGCAGAGTGTTAATATAGGAGATGGAAACAGATTAAATGGCGTACATTAACAAATATTGCCACCCCTTTAAAACACACACAAACACACTGAAAATGTGTGTGTGTGTGTTTCTGCCCTTTCTCCACGTAGTTGGTGTAAGTGTTCTGTCTGTTTGGAGATATATCTATTATTATATATGTGTGTACTTACTATTAGCCAGTAGCTGCTGTTGCTGCTGCTGGAGTTGTTGCTGATTGACAGCTCCAAGGGCCGGCCCCCTCCCACCGCTGCCGCCTCCTCCTCCTGCTGCTCCACCACCTCCTCCTCCCGCTGCTCCTACTGGTGCTCCTCCACCTCCTGGTCCTCCACTGTGGGCTCCAGCTGAGGGGCTGGTCAGACGCTCTTTATCCCAGGAACACTCACTCCCTCCTGGGTAAAGACAGACACACAGAGGCTTGAATCTTTGGACATATATATATATATATATATATATATATATATATATATATATATTCTCTTTGCTATTTTCCAAATTGATCAAAAACTTTAGCAATAAATTTTAAAAATGTGACTTCTTAATAATACACACACATTGTGAATATTAGTCATAATGCACTACAAGATGTGACCTATGTTCAAAACTATTTGACAGTTCGCTAAGCCCCATTCCCCTTACTGACTTTTGCCAAATGAAGTGTCGACTGACGCTAGCATATCTTATCAAGCCACTAATGTTACACTGATTTTGATTTGTCTAGTTGCATCCAGGACCCCACCACACCCAGACGTGATGGGTAAATGCTACACTGCTTTTTCTAACGTAATTTGTAACCACACAAAATAATGTCCTTAGCTAATGATACACTGACTGGGTTAACGCTACGTTAGTGCTGCTAGTGTGTGCAATAAGCCAGTTTGCCAGACATGCTGACGTTTGCAGCTTAAGTTGTACACACTGTACACACTGTTTTATTCATTCATTACACTGTTGCTCATGTTGTTTTGGTTTTGGAAAGGCTTACGAAAAGTTAAACACACAATGCTTCGACATCTGACAGTTTGGAAGCTATGATTGGGACAATCGCTGCTGAGGGGAGGGGTTCAGTGAAGGGTAAACTGACTTGGTGGAAGCAAAGTGCATTATTCTCTATACCAGGACACCTCAGAGTGCATTACCATATTTATACCATGGCTACTGGTAAAAAAGGAAAAACTAAACATGATTCATTTTCAAGTTTGTTTATGGTCAGTTCACACCAAGGTTAAGTGCTGTGTTTGGTTGTTGGATACCTGCAGGTGAATGGTTGATTAAAAACTCTGTACGGTTTAATGTTTCAGTGATCTTAGTATGTCAGGGCTGTGTGGCGCTGCTGGACACTGAAACAAACCATGAAGTGTATCTTGAACTCATTCTAATCATCGGCTGATAGTACTCTTAAAACGTTAGGACTCATTATCAATACTACTAGAAAACAGATGTAATATGGATATCGAGAGGAAAAACATTTACCGCATAAATCTGTCATTTAACAAATCCTTTGATAAATGACTTGTAACATAAATATTATTACTGATGATTTTGTTAGTAACATATTACAGACATAATGCTTATTTAGGTTTTTGCATTTCTGATCTTATTTACAGTAACCTGATGTGTTTTTATAGCAGGAATTTTTGCATGTGTGGGAACTCGACAGTGAAAGAAAATCTATTTTAACCGATATGCTCATAAAAACAAACATTTAAAAGTACTTCTTGTTTAAAATTGCTTTAAACAAGGATCCTTATAACTGGCGACAAACCGGTTTAATGAAAGTAAATCAAATACATTTATAAATAGGAATATAATCATGTGTTAAACATTGCCAAAAGTATTATATTGTGTCACATAACACAACCTTAATATATCGTATGATGATCATTATATCATCATTATGGCAAATATTAAACCAGGTTGTTATCTTTAAGATGAACTTTGAAAATATCTTGAAACAATCACTTTCCGTCTTCACACCTTCATTCTTCTCTTCCTCTCTACTCTCTCTCTCTCTCTGCAAGGCTGCCTCTCTCACCCTCCACATCTCTCTCTCTGCTCCCCCGTTCCCTCTTTCATCCATCTTCATCTCCCTCCATTAGTTTGAATTAGCAACAGTCTCTCTCTATTATTGCCTACTGAATTCCCTGCGCTGTGTGTGTGTGTGTGTGTGTGTGTGTGTGTGTGTGTGTGTGTGGATGACAGCTGGGCCTCATCCCCTCTGCCATTTACACCAGGGAAGAAAAGAAGTATAAACAGATGGGCAGATGTTCACATCTCACACACACACACACACACACACACACACACACACACTATTCAATTTTTCCTTGGCCTTGTCCTCTTCTTCTCTGCCTCTCTTCTCTCTCCTCCGTCACTTTCTTTCTTTCCATCTCTCATCTACCTCCGTCTCCTCTTCTCTCTCACTCACTTGCTCTTTTGCCCTCGCTCCACTCGAATTTAATTCAGTTCAGTTTAACTCAAATTTACGTGCTTGTCTTTTCTCTTTCCGTCTTGGTCTTCAGACCCACATCTGTTTTTGTCCATATATGACCAAATGCAACCTTGAGCTAAGAGAGATGATGGTCAAACACTTCTACACACTCACTCCACCTGAAAAAAATAGTTGTTTATTTGTGTTTTAAACACTTCTCAGTTTAATTCAGTTATCAAAAACATTCACAGTGAACTTTACCAGAAATGTCAACCTCTGTTTTTCCTCGCTCTATTGTCTCTTTCCTAACCTCTTTTGTTTTTACACTTTTGGCTTTGTTCCCAAGGTTATTATCGTTAACAAAAACTAACGAAATAATGAAGACTAGGTGTGAAAAAACATCTTTGTTAACTGAAATAAAAATAATAACTAACTAAAAACTAAGATTATAGAGTAAAAGACTTTAGTTTTGGTCTTTGTCAGTTTATTTCATAGGACTTACATAAGCTTAGTATTTTGGATGGATATAAAATCTATCTTCCATTTTGTGTCAGTTTTTAGTCCACGCCCCCTCGGCTGGGATCATGGCGGCGAAAGTCGTGAGAAAACAACCCATATTACAAAAAACAGAATAACACTGAAACTAATAAAAACTCAATTTAACTAGCAAACACACTTAAACTTTCTGTGTAGACTCTACACCTCTCTCATTGACAAAAACAAAGACATGTTTTCCATTGACAAATAAATGCGTCTCTTTCTCCATCTCTCCTCTCATTCACCCTCTCTGTGGTTTTCTCATTTCTATGATGAAAACAAAACAGATACGACTGTCACTGCAAGCTGGACAAGCCAGAGCGATCGACTTTCACCCATCAAACACCAAACTCTTCTCGCCCTAAATATCCCTTTCTCTCATTATGAGTCTGTTTTTCCCCTCTGTCCTCCCTCACTTTATTTTCTTTTTCATTCGTACACTTGTTCCTCTGCTCTATTGTCTGCTGGAGTTTCCCAGGCCGATGTGAGTGTCTCTTACAAAGAAAATAAGGTCGGACAATGAAAAGGTTTTCCACGCACTTGCAAAACAAAACAAAAAAACCCCACTCTGAATGAAATAAAAGAAGGAGGAAGAAGAGGCGGAGGGAATAAATTTTTTTAAAAACGACAGCGCGAAAGACAATAAAACGAGAGAATGGAGGAAGTGTAACTCTATCAGTCCATTTGCCAGGTCAGCTGAAGAAAAGGAAGAAATTCAAGAGGAGAAAGAAAAATAGAAACATGGGAGTCTGGGTGGAAACAGAAGAAAAGATTGCACGCTCGCTTTTTTCTTTTCTCTTTGCTTTTTGTTTTCTGTCTTTTTAATAATTTAGAGAAGCAAACACAGCAGAGATGGAGTGGGCTGTAAAGTGTGTGTGTGTGTGTGTGTTAAGTCTTTGTTTTGTTTTTATATATGTCACTTAGTACTTTAGTACCTTTTCCTGATAGATACTTTTAGACTAAACATTATAATGAGACAGTCACTAACATCAAGGATAATTGCTGCAGGCATCCACACGTGATCTCCTTGCTCTTTGTTATTTTTTTATATTCTCTTCCTGTTGTATTTTGGTATCTGCTGCCACATCCAGCTACAGAAATGGGTCTAATTATCATATGTGCTGAAGAAGTAGGACATTATAACAAGCATTCAACTTTTTAGAAATATTGAGTGTTTAGTGTCTGTGTGTGAACCCGTTCTCACTCCCAAGCCATCAGATATGGACACGTGGTCAAGACCCAATGGCGTCAGTTTTTAACACACTGAGGATCCCCTTAGCGTCATAGTTCAACAAAAGGGAAGACGTGTAGCGTAATTTATGAATGCTAAAGGTAGGCATAGGATATTTAACATAAACGTCCGAGGAGGTGGCTGGGATAGGTGTGCCAGAAAACAGACTGTCACCCAGGAGACCGGTGTTCGTTTCCCGTGTGAAACAAAAAGTTATTTAGGTTACATAAGTTGTTACTTAACGTGACTTAAGTTAATATTAATATCAATATCTATTAATATAGCACACTTAAAACCTGCTTTACAGGTTAAAAATACAACAATAAAATGGTAATTACAAAGTAAAAATACAGCAATAAAACATGAGAATATACAGTAAATTTAAGTAACGTAGTTATTTTAACCCAAAACATGATCTTAGCCTAAACCTAACCAAGTAGTTTTGGTGCCTAAACCTAACCAAATTATGACATTTCACAATGTTAACTACTAGTTTTATTTTGAAAGTCTAACCAGATGTTGCATATTTATTGTTGCTAACTTGACTATGGGGCTCTACACATCCAAAAACGACGCTAAAGGAGTACCCAGGGCGTTAAAAAGTGACGAATTTATAGACTGCTTATAAATAAATAGGGGGGGGAAAGTATATTCCATCTGACGCACTGAGTAACAAACAGATTAAGACAACAATTTACTGGAAAAAACAAAACAATAAAAAGACCTAAATGGGGTTAGGGTTTCTTTAGGTACACCTCTTTCTTTACAGTATAAAAGATAAGAAGAACAAGTTCAATAGGAAATAAGAGTTGGAAAGAAATCTGAATCGAGGAAGCAGAAAACGAAGGGAGCAAATGACAGAGAAGACGAAGATGAATAGTCTCCGTCATGTATCTTAATGTTTGCAGTCAGTTTAAATGTTGAAACTGATCCCAGTGAAGAGACGATCTGTGGCTCGGGTTTCAATACTAAATAAAACTTTCTCTTCTGCCTTTGGTTTCCTTTTTTCCTCCCTGCAGCCACAGATGTGTTTTACGGATTATGTTAAGTGATGTAAGAAAAGAAGGAGGAGGTGTGAGAACGGACAGTAATAAATGAATAAAAGGCAGAGGATGGAAGATTTGAAGACCCCCAAAGGTTTTATGCCATGTGAGAAAAATTATGAAAATGTTGATTATTTCACTTAACAGATTTCCAAACTTCCTGTCCAGTAAAAAGTTATTCATGGTGTAATAAAGCACAATATTTCTCTCTACAGTACAAGTACTTCAAGTTGTACTTAGTACAATAAGTTCAGACTACAGGCCAAAGTGACCCACATCCAATTTTTTTGCTCATATGTGACTCAGATCTGATCTTTTTTTAGGACAGTGTGACAGAGATGGGGACTCGAGTTAGAGACTCAGACTCGAGTATGACTTAAGTCGCACACACAGTGACTTCAGACTCTACTTGAGACTCGTCCTCAAAAGACTTCAGACTCGACTCGGACTCGAGGTGCGGGACTCGTGAACAATGTTTATTTTTTAGGAAACGTCTGATGAGCTTGCCGTTATTCCCTCCCTCCGTTCGCTATAACCTGCTTACGTAACACGTAACATCTGCCGCACGTGACAGAGGACAACAAACACCGGCAGCTGCTCCGCCATTCATCATAAACTTTGGCTTTAAAACTTCATAAAACAAGACCCAAACAAAGAAACGCTGAACGCAAATAGGTTAAGTAACCTGTGGTGAGTAAACATGTTTAGCTCAACATTGGCCATCTAACGTTAGCTTGCTTCTTGCTTCAGCTACGACCTCCGAGAGGTTTACTCCGACTGTTGTTCGTTATGAAAAGACGAATGAGCGTTTGCCAAACTTGTGGTGGTCGATAAACGTAATTATTTACGTCCCGCTGGCTGCCATCACCTTAATTATTGCCGTTGGCTAGAAAGAGGTTACAGGTTTATTGTTGATCATGTAGCCTTACAGTTTTATTTAGTTATAACGTTACACTGGTTTGAGAGTCTGGTGGTGTGTTGACTTACAGTAGTTTATAAGCTGTCAATAATTGTAGACGCATTGTACATTAGGCTACATGGTTGTGCTCTGTAAGTTAAAAACAGGTTACAGGTTTATTGTTGATTATGCAACATCACAGTTTTATTTAATAAGTTTTAATTTATAACTTACACTGGGTTTAAGAGTCTGGGGAGTGTGTTGACTTACAGTATTTAATAAGCTGTCAATAATTGCATTGTACATTACATGGTTGTGCTCTGTAAATGAAAAACAGGTTACAGTTACTTATAGCATTAGAATTCCTTATAGCCATGCAGTTTTATTAGCAACCTGGATTGAACGCAGCAGGTGATACAACATTCATTATAACCACGAGAGACTTGAGACTTGACTTGGACTCTAGCTCAAAGACTTGTGAGCATCTCTGCAGTGTGAACAGGCCAAGTCACATGGAATCTGATCTTTTCCAGTTCGGATTTGGCACTTTCATATGTGGTCCAAATCTGATACAGATCGGATCTTTTTAAATGCGACCTGAGTCTGGACACTCAGGTCGGAATTGACGTGACTTTGACGTCACTCTAGAGCAGCTGATGTCACAGTTCTTCTGTAGAGGGAGCCGCGGTGAACGAAAAAGCTCCACAAAAGCTATTATTAAACATATGACTCTCCTTCTTCTCTTCCTTGTTATCATCTGCTCACTGAATCGAGCAGATTCAGTGAGCACTTTTCACTTTTAGGCCATGGACAGTTCACACTGGAGTCTGATATGGGCCACATTTAAACAGTAATGTGAACTGTCAAACAAAAAAATCGGATCTGAGAAAAAAATTGTAATTGAGCATTAAGGCCTGCAGTCTGAACTTAGCCTTTGTCAGTTTATCTGTTTTTTTTTGCTTGTGTGTGTGTTGTTACCTGTGTTGGAGTGCAAGTCGTCGTTGTCTGACTCGTTGCCGTTCTGGAGACTCATCATCATCTTCATCTTCTGCAGCTTCTGGAGCTCAGCCATGGCTGCTGCTGTCAGACCTGTGAGACACACACACACACACCCTCTACTGTTACCTTCGTCAGCATTATAAGAAACATCTGTAGCAGCGCACACTCTCACTGGAGGTAAGACGCCCATAATTGTCAACCAGTATTGGAATTTATCAGCTGCCATAAATTCCATCAACTCCGATATCTGTTATCATACTTTTGTGAGCTCTTCTTCGCCCCTTGCAGGTGCTGCCTGCCTTTTACCCATGATGCTTTGCTGGTGAGCTGTGACACACATACTGAAAGTTGGGGCGGGCTGTCGCTGTCAAAATGCTCTTCTCAGTTTGAGCGATTTGTTGGAGTGTTTCAGGGTGTGAGTGCTGTTTTGAGACGCCTTGGGGCTGATGTATATTCACTGATACACACATGCAGACAAACAAAACACACACATAGAGAACAACCCCCCCAACACACACACACACACACACACTCTTTTGTATGGACTAAGATCCCTGGCTCTGTGCACTGACCTGGAACTGACTTCTATACACAACAACCAGCAGAGTGAGAGCGATGACCCTGTGTGTGTGTGTGTGTGTGTGTGAAAGTGAGAGAGAGAGCATGCTTTATTGTGTAAATCCACTATTATATTTGTAAGTGTGCACATGAGCATTTGCATCGTGCTCAGTGTGTATGTACAGTTTGCTTTCACGTATATAAAGGTGTGTGACAGAGAGAGAAAGAATGCATGCATGCTTATCTGTGCATACTTGTATCCCACTGTGTGTGTGTGTGTGTGTGTGTGTGTGTGTGTGTGTAGGTCAGTTGGTTTTGCCCCAGTCACGGTTGACGGCCTTGGAGGAATGTCCATTACACACACAGTACAGTTGTCTGCAAGCTATAAAGAAAACAAGACAGAGGGAGGGGTGGAAAGCAGTAGTGGGAGGTAGAGAGGGAGGAGTTGTTGCCTTGTTTGAAATTTAATTTAAAGCAGGATGGAGGGATGAAGGGGGAGGTGTAGAAAGAGAGAAAGAGGGTGTTGTGTGCAGGTTAAACTAAACTGGAGTTCCTTAATTAACTACAGAGGTACAAAGTTTAAAACTTGCAGTTGAGCTAAAAAATTCTCCATTGGTTAATTTTCTCCATTTTTTTTGTTTGTTTTTCTAATTCGTAAAACAAGTGGGGAAAAAGAAGGGAAAACACTCTGGCAGCTAAGTTACTGTATGTTGACGTTACTATAGTCAGATTTCATGTCAGTGCAGCATATAAAGATTAATTTAAAATATAATTTAAAATTAACTTGTTTTCTAGAATTACAGAACATCAGTATTTTTTTACTGTGCTGTGTAGAGACCTATGTCATCTTGTCTTTAGACACGCTGACACTCCTTTCTAGATAATTCATAATGTAAAAGTATATTTTTTCATAATCTGATGCTTCCATAAAAGAAAAGACCAATATATAAGATCAGAGTGGCTCTCTGTTTTATTTGTTGATAAGGTCACCATTAATTTAAAGACAGGATGTCGAGGTGGGACATTTTGCAGAGAGGGGTCATTTTAAACTGTAAACCTATTTAATATCCAATGAAGAAGAAAACTTATGATGGCTGCATGTATGTAGATTTTGTGTTTGAACATAAAAAGTGCCACCTACTGTTCCTAATATCTGCATAATAGTGGGTGGAAACGCGCATAACTTTCATTTTCTTTTGCAGATATTCTCAAAATTCTGTCATAATTTGCATTATATTTGGCTGGAAACCTGTGTTTTTTCTTCTTGTGAGCCATTGTCACATGTAGGGCTGAATGATGAATTGCATTTGCGATAAGCGGAAAGCAGTTCCTGACGTTACGCTGTACCTTGCCTTCTTGTTGTACAATGGCCTTAAGCTTGACAGAAGCTGACATTACAGAAACTTTAGTGTCATACAGGGAATGAAAGTAGCAACCGCCACCCGCGGTAACTTGGTGGTAGTGGTGGGTGAAAACCGCGGCTTTGACGACAGAAAAAATGCACAACAGAAAGACACGTGTAGTAAGGTAAGCGTAATGTAAAGCGCCTGCGTCACACACACAGCCACCAGTCAGCTCAGGAAATATCTGTGAAACGACGTTTCAGACCAAACTCACAAGTCCGAAAGAGGCCCAGTCTGTCCCGAGTTACTGCCCAGTTACAGCCAGTGCGCCGCTTACCAGCATCAGAGGCAGCGGGGGAGGAGGAGCTTGTCTATTAAACACGAGAGGCGACGCTTGATTTTCTTTTCTTTTTTTTGTTTGCTTACTGGGATACAGAAAGATGGACTAAGAGATTTGAACTGAGATAAGGACGCCTTAAGTGGTGGTTGAACTGTGGGTTTTGTATTGAGCACTTACTGTGGTGAGTTAACGTTAGTTTTTCTTGTGGTCTGTAGGTAGGCCGACCTGATGAAATCATATCATTTTATTTAATGCCATGATTTGACTCAAATTATCTTTCTCATATTTTTATAATTTGATATATCTTCTCCACCATTGCTCATAATAATAATTCTACCTAATTCATCATAACACAAGAAAGAACAGTGTAGTTCTATCTTTCTAATATTGTGTATACACTGCTTGTCCATTTTGAATAATACAGGAGGTAAAGAGCTTAAAAATTAATCGCATATTAAATTGCAATATTGGTAATAAAAAAATCGCAATTAGATTATTTTCCAAAATCGTCCTAGTCACATGTATGTGAAAGGTGTCTTTCATACTGATGAACACACAGAATCAATACCCCACCAGCAGTTTTACTGTTTTGTTTCACTCTCAGTGTATTTTCAGCTGTTTTCTTTCTACGCGCTGTTTATGCGCCCTGGGCGGCTTGTGTTTTTGAAGAAGCACAAAGTTGAGAAAAAATTCAACTCTGAGCACATAAGCGCCCGATGTCATTTGCGTTTTTTTCCATTGTCCAATCAAATGAATGATGCTGTTAGTTGTGGTCACGGACGTTTACAGTACTTGAATTGTCCGGAGACTGCAACAAACTCTCCCTGAGTCATCTTAAAATAAGCCTTGAACCGACCATCATTAAGACGAAGCTACTGGACCAGCTGGTGGTACTACCAGCAGTGCCTCCTCTTTCTGAGGGTCTCGTACCCACACGGATGTCCATTTCCCTGTCTCCTGCATTTTTGTGCACCTCGCATCCTCAAACAATGCCAGAGCAAGCGCCCTCCACTTGTCTATTTTATTAAAGCAGATGTTTTTAGCAACAAAAGACACAGACCTGTGAGTTGTGATGAAGTTGCTGCTAACATGACAGGCCTATTACTGCAGCAAACCACAGATTACAGATCGCTGGCACTATAATCTTTGATTAGATTGACAGGACAGCTGATTCGGTGGTTGCCTAGCAACATAAATAAATGCAGCGCACTGCTCATTTCCAAATTCAACCATAAAAAGCATTGCTGTGTGCCTTGCGTTTTCTAACCTGCAAAACGCTTTCTGTCTGATGGGGGCCTTAGAGACTAGCTAGTGAACCTAGTGGAGCATTTAGCAGCTGAAGAGACGGACATTTTCCTCAGGAGTTGGTGGAGACCAAAAACAGAGCTAAAAGAGAGTGAATGTTAGTCAGAAACACGACTCTAAATAAATGCAAATGTTTCTGGATATTTGCAGGATGTGTAAATAAGCAGCTGTTTGCTATTAAGTTCAGTGTTATATAGATGCAGTACCGGAGACTGCTCTTTCAGGACCCCCGCCGTCCTAGGACCGTAGTTCTTTTTCAACAGCGCCATCTAGCAGAGTGGAGGTGGTAATGCACAGCAACGCGAAGGAGGTTGACTTTATCTGCTCGCAATAAGTAAAGTAATAATATTACTTTTGGGGGGGGGGGGCGCTAATCTGGACACCCAGCTACGTTTTAACTGGACAGGTTTGTGCAGCGGTGTTCATGAGAGAGAGACAAAACGGGCAAGCGAGAGGAGATGCTGCATGAATATATGCTCCACAATACAGCTCCTCAATCAAATAAGATTTTACGACAAGTAAAAAAAAATAGAAAATCAACATGTGGCAGTCAGCTTTGATAATTATCCCATACATAGATTTATTTGTCTGTATGTATGGGACACACTGCTTTCACTACCACTCCCCTTCACCCCCAAACAAAGCAGTCTCTCCCGACTTTATTAACTAATATCATATTCATAACAGCAGCAGGGAGTGTGTTTTTTACAAGACATTTAACGTTTGTTAATGCCACCGGCTGAAATAAAAAATAAAAGTAGCTCAAATCCCGACTTTTGAACTAGGCTACTGTTTGCACATTTATAAGAGCAGTATTCATTATTTTTTTTAAATGTTACGTTAACGCCACTCTATCCTGACAAGTCCAAGCATCAGTGACAGTAGCCGCCGGAGTTTCTTTCTGTAAGTATAACGTGCTTCAATAAATTAAATGTAGAATTGTTTGCGGTTGAAAACTTTTTGCTGGTTGCAGAGTTTACAATAGATGACAATGTTCTTTGCATGTTAGACTGTGACACAATAATAGCAGTACTTACAGCTGTGTAAAGAACACCACTCTCCCTCGTTCTCCTTTCTTCCTTTAGTTTAGTGGCAGCCGACTTGAACAACATAAGCTCCGGTGCCGCTGAGCTGCCATACAGTCGCGCATTTTCGTCAAGGATGGTGCATTCAGTAACACAGCGTTGCTTGGATTAGTAACTGTAATAATATTACTGTTTTAGAAAAGTAATTAGTTACACTACTAGTTACAGGGAAAAGTAATAGTATTACTTGCCCAAGTAATACTTGCCTAACACTATCCACCAGTAAGTGATTTAAGTGATTTCACAAGTGCACCTAATGAGCAAAGGCTACCCAGTGCGACAGGAAAAGGGAGAAAAGAGAAACCAACAGAAAGAGGTCCAGTCAAAGAGCCTGAGGCAGAGTGACCAGACGTATTGTCTGCTGTCCTGCTGAGAGAAAGGAGGAGGAAAGGAGTGGAGGAACAGGATGGAGGAAAGGAGGCCAAAAATGAAGAGAAGAGGACCATAAGGAGCTGCTGC